GGGGGGGGGGCGAAGGGAGGAGGGGAAAGGGCGGCCGCCTGCCAAAGAGTGCCGAGCGCACGTCCGACGCACACGGCAGGCGGGGGGCGCCCTGGACCGTCGGCGAAAAACCTTCTGGCCCGGCGTCGCAAGAGCAAGCGAAGCAAGGATGGCCAGACCGACCACGCCCGGAGGCTAGGATGGCGCAGCAAGCAAAAAGCAGGCTAAAGGAGCAACCTCGTCCGAAGCGAGCCCACAACGCAGCAAGCAGGCAGCGGCGGCAGATCCTACGGAGGCTGGCGGGATGCTGGCTGCCGCCTCTACCGGTATCTACAGTACACGGCGGGTCAGCAAGCCGAGCTCGCTCGCTGCGACCTTTGTCCATCTGTCTTGACTGCTCCTGCTCAGCGACAAGGTCAGGCCGGCTGAAACCGACCAAAGCAAGGCAAGCAAGCAAGCAAGCAAGAGGCAGGCAAGCAAGCAAGCAAGCAAGCAAGAGGCAGGCAAGCAAGCCGACCCGACATATGTATGTACTTACGCCCATTGGATCTCCTTGCAGCCTCTAGCCGTGGGTCCCGACTCGTCTGTCTTACCCTGTAGCGCAAGGGCGGTAGGGTCAGCCGAAGCAAGGCGATCGAGCGGTGTGCGGACAAGGGAGACGCGGTCGTGGCGATGGCGATGGCGGCAGCGGCGGCAGCGGCAGACGAGGTGGTGTGTGTTCGTACGCGAAGGGCCCAGCCTGCTCGCTTCAACGCGGGGAAAAGGGACAAAGGCGGGCGGGCGGCCTGGCGCCAGGCTCTGGTTTGTCCTGTTCGCTGCCACCCCGTCCCCGCCCCGCGGCGGCCTGCTTGTTCAGCCCCGACATGGCTGCGTGTGCGATGCATCTTTGATCAACAGCCGGCATACGGATGCTCGACGTCCGACGCTTCGGTTCGTCGTCGACGGGGCCGGGATTTCTTTCCTTCCTTCGCTCTGCATTTCTTTCACCGCACCGACCGGCAGGCGCCTGCAGTTCTTGGCCTGGCTGCCCGCCTGCCGGCCTCGTCGTTCGGTGCGCCGATACCGCGACCCGCAACCCGCACCCATGGACCATCATACTCGATCCTGCCGCTCTCCTCCGACCGCTCTCTCTCGCTTTCTCCCTCTTCGCTCTCTCCTCCTTTGTCCTTCGTACTGGAGCCCGGTCTCTGTACGAGCATACGGCTGTTGGTCGCCCGAACATCGTCCAATGACCGTGTGCGCTCAAGGCTACGCTTGCTTTGTCCTGGGCCCGTCGCCGCCAAGGTTACCACTCCGACCTCGCCGTGGCCGTGGGGTCTTTCGGTCGCCATGGAAACGTCGCTCGTCTGTGCCGCCGTATGTCATCCGGCTTGGCCTTCCTCGCACTGCCCTTCCTAGGTTCCTATCTGGTCGCCACCTGGGAGCCTCCCGACGGCGGCGCCCTCGAGAGTGCCACGTTGCGGCGCATCAATCCACCGTACCTGCTTGCTTATGTTTCGACCCAGTCCCAACCACTGTCGCCGTATCGTCCGGACCAGCCGTGGCGTACCGCCACGGTGCGTGAGTGCTGACTGGACGGCTGCAGAAGCGATATCGCCACTCGCCGTCCGGTCCTGTTCTGCACTGAGCGGAACACGTCCAGCCGTACCGCGATCACGCGAGCCGTGCAACTGTACTGAGCCTCCTCTTCCGCACCTTGGCTTCCAGACCGTCGTGCCCTGCCCTGCGTCGTTCCTACCGGCACCTGGTTATCCATGTCCCACGTACGCACGTACAGGTTAAGCTCTGCGCCGGTTGGCAAGACCGTGGGTCAGCTCCACCGCCGACTTCACCCGTCAAGAGTACGTGGCTTCGGCGTCTAGACTGGACTTCGTCGAAGGTCATGGCAGACGGGTGGGCGTCTAGACCTTCGCTCCTGCTGCTCGTTCTTCCCTCTCGGCGGTCCGAACTGATCCGAAGCGGAGGACGAACCGGATGCAGGGATCATCGGGTCACAGAGACAATCGGGACTGTGCAGAGCATCGGTCATCGTCTTCGCGGCGAATGCCTAGCTGTCCAGACGGCCCATCGTGCTAATGTCCCCTACCTTCTCACGGCTGGACCTCAGAAAGCTTCTCATCTGCGTTTGCAAGACGAGTGGGAACCAGTTCCGACCACGCCGTCTGATGACCAAGGGTGAGCTTCTGGAGCTAGAGGCACTAAGACTGAGCTTCGCCGCGCCCACTCTCCCTTCTACTCGCTCGAGATAAGGGCGAGGAGCCATGCCTGGTAGGTACCACCCCAGCAACCATCCACGTCAAGCCTGGCCCGCCCTGAGGTCGACGGCAGCAAAGCAAGCAAGCGATCGAGAGCAAGAGGTGGGGTCGGATTTTGGGATTCTCGTGTTGTGAGCGTGTCGAGACCCGCGGCGACGCCAACCCTTGCCGCGGGCCACGCAGTCAAACACCCATCGCATTCCACTCTGCTCTCAGCTCTCTGCTCCTACTGTCCTCACTCTAGACTCCCCCTCTGTCCCTCTGGCTTCACCGCGTGCTCCGACCGTTACAAAAACAAACACAAGGAGGGGGATCGGAGGAGGAGCACTTGGCTGGCCGCCAAAGGCGGAGGAGGGAGAGGAAAGAGCGCTGGACGAGGCGGCAGCGCCAGAGACTCGAGACGGCCGACGACGGGGGAGCAGGACCGCGATTTTTTCTTTTGCCTAGATGCGTGCATATCGAGTCGATGGCAGGGATGGCATCCGATGCTGGTGTGGGTGTGTGTGTGTGGTGGGTAGTGGTGGTGGTGTGCATGTGCGTGGGTTGACCGCGTGCCACCTGCAGCGGGCGGAGGGGTACCAGCCCGCTATATCAGGCAGCACCGATCAGGAAGAGGTCGGCGCCGCTACGCAGGCAGCAAAGCGCAGCGGCCAAGGAAGGGAATCGACGAAGGGGAAAAAGGAAAGAGGGGACCGCAGCCGACTGAAGAACGCCAAAGAGCAGGCGCTTCAGAGACGGCGACCACGGCGACCGCCCTTCTTGCGGGTGCTGTCGGTGGGGACGGGGGTGACGTCCTCGATCCTTCCGATCCTCATGCCGGCACGGGCGAGGGCGCGGAGCGCGGCCTGGGCACCGGGGCCGGGGGTCTTGGTGCGGGTACCACCAGTGGCGCGCAGCTTGATGTGGAGCGCAGTGACACCGACCTCCTTGCAGCGGACGGCGCAGTCCTGGGCGGCAAGCATCGCGGCGTAGGGCGACGACTCGTCACGGTCGGCCTTGACCTTCATGCCGCCTACGAGGGTTCGAAGAGAGCAGTGTAGGGGGGCAGAGGGCCAATAGTCAGTCCACCGCCGATGTCGAACCAAGTGGCAGGGTTGAGGCCAAGTCGGAGCCATCGACGCGGGCCCAAAGACGCCCATCTCGAGGAAGGGTGACGTGTTGCGTATGCCGTCCAATCGTGCCCCTCGTCAGCGCTAGCGCTTCTATGTGGCCATGCCCTTGCTGACCATACGCCGCCGAATCCTCCATCGACCAGCTAGTGTCCAGCCTGGCACCGCTGCCCTTTCCGCTCTGGAGTTGCGGAGGGGCCGGCCAAATCCGGCAGCAATCCGGTAGGTCGTCCTGCCGGCCTCTGCGGCGTATCCCGCGGGCCTTCCTCGAGATAGAAGATGTCGTCGCCGGAGCTTCGTCCGGCTGGAGACAGCTGTGTCTGCGCTGTGCTGAGACTCACCAGTAACGCGGACGATGGTTTCCCTGCCCGAGAGATCAGTGACGTGAACGAAGGTGTCGTTGAACGAGGCGAAGATGCTGAAGGGAGGAGAACCGCGGCGCAGCGGTGGTCGATGTCAGCAACATCAGTTTACCAAGTTTCACTGAACCTCGATGAGCCTTGCCCTCCCGCTGGCCACGATGATGTGTCCATCTGACACCTCGAGACCGGCACCCTTCAGGACACCCTGACCGGCCGCCTTGTCGTCCCATCTCGACCTTCTTCCTTGATCGCCTGCCTTCCAGGATACTCACTGAGCAACGCCGAAGACGAGCTCGCCCTCACCGACGTTGGGGCCGAGGGAAACCTCCTGAGTGGGAGCAGCGCGGACCTTGGGAGCCATCTGTGCAACGTGTGGAGTTTGTGATAGGTGGTAGGTGTGGAGGGCGGTGCACAAAGAAGGTGGTGGCGGCGGCAGTCGAGAGATGCGAGTCGAGGGTCGAGAAAGATGCCAGCGGAAAGGGCGAGCGGGCGAGCGGGCGGGCGGCGGGTAGGTTCAAGATAGTCGGGCGATGGGTTGAATTGAAGGTGAAGCGACAGGGAGGAGCAGAGGTTCGAGGTCAAAGGTCAGCCTTGGCCGTTCTTTGTGCGCGTCACGGATCGCCTCGCGATATCGTTGGTCCTCGTTGGCGTCGTCGGCGTCGGCGAAAGGGTCAGTATCTCACCTTGATGATATGTGTGGGTGGGGGGCGGAGAGATGGTAGGGGTGGTCTTGGTGAAGCTGGTAGGCCGATCTCTCTCTCTCTGGCTCGCTCGGTCTCTCTGGCCGGGGCGCGGATGGAGTTGCAGGCGGCGGCTGGCGGCGGGCGTCTTTGGCTGGGCTGCGAGCGTCCCCCACTCTGCTGGTTGGCTGGCTGGCTGGCTGACGAGCTGACGAGCTCACGAGCTGGCCGGCCTCTCTGGCTGGCCCAGGCTGGCCGGGGCTGGGTCGTCGGCCCGCCTCGGAGCCTTGCCTTGGCCTCGCCCTTGCTTCTCGAAATCGAGTCGAAGCAGGGCACGTGATGATTTTTGGAATTTCAGAAAGAGGCCAGGCGAGCGCAGGGACGAGTGTGGGAATCCTCGGCCGAGCCTCCTGGCGCCAGCGCCCGGGACTCGAATTTCGGAAGCGAACGTCAAAGGGCCCTGACCACCTGGAAGAGCGCGACCGAGCGAGCGAGCGACCGAGCGAGTCGGTCCAACGCAGAGGCAAACGCACGCAGGCAGGAGGCAGCCGGCAGCGAGGGTGGGTGTGTGGGCTGCGGGCCGAGGGGCGAGTCGACGGCTGCGGAGGGCGGGTCCACCTCTCTCTGCCTTCTCACGGATACCTTACCATCCCCTCACCCGCCGCCCACCCCCCACGGATCCATAGTCAAGATGGTGAGCACGACCCCTTGATCGCCATCCGACAGCTCCAGCGCCGGCATCGACGACGACGACGACCCGCGTGGACGACGTGCGACACGCAGGCGACATTCGGAAGAGCACGCTCCCTTGGCAGGGCATCGTATACGACGGCATCATCATCGGCACCAGCACTTCGTTTTGGCACGACCTCCCACCCACCGTATCGAACGCGACCTCGGCGACCTCGTTGCGGCTGGATCGAATGCGGCAGCCTCAATCGAGGGATTGGCCGACTTTCGACATCTGCCGCACGGCCTTTGTTTCTAGACTCGTCGACGAGATCCAGGACGACTGCTCCGCCCCGACAAAGGGCGCACTTCGACCTATGATGCCTGCCCGACGTTGAGGCATCACATTCAGACTTCAGACTAGAGGCGGTTTTGGCAGGAAACTCCGTTCGAGGCCGCCGATATTGGAGCGGGTGCGGGATGGACGTCATGGGTCAAGGTGACGGAGGCAGGCACGGCGGGTAGGAGACTCTTCCAGGGCTGTCTGGACGGTTCTGACGTGCTGGAGGTGATAGGAGAACGGATGCTGCACGACAGTCGTCCTTGGTGGAGGCCGACCGTGGGATCGAGATGGCGACATGAGACGGCCTCGGCGTGCCGACACTACACGACGCCTGCGACGTATGCCACGACCGCCGACACGGCACAAAGCCTTTCAGCGCTCAACGATCCGACCGACGAAGCCCTGCCATTGGACGCTCTCCGAATCGCCTGCACTGTCGCACTCGCCCATGGCGTCGTGTCTCTCCTCTGCCTGCAGCACCAACGACGATCCGCTCTCGTTTGCTAACCCCGCCTCGACGCTTCCTTGCTCCCGCCTTGCCCGCCTTGCCCGCCACGCAGCCCAAGCAGGTCACCGACATCAAGAACTTCCTCGAGATCGCGCGCCGCAAGGACGCGACGGCTGCCCGCATCAAGAGGACCATCAAGGCTGGCAAGACCCAGACCAAGTTCAAGGTCCGATGCTCCAAGTACCTCTACACGCTCGTCGTTGACGATGCCCAGAAGGCCGAGAAGCTCAAGCAGTCGCTTCCCCCGGGTGAGTTGCGATGCCGGAGTTGATGTTGTTGGGGCGATCCGAGTCAATGGTCAGGAGCGACTCGGATGGTGGAGTTTCGGGACTTGCGCTCAGCCTGGAGTTGGCGGAGGAGGAAGCTGCTTTGCGCGACACACGTTGCGACAGCACGACTGACAACGGCCTGCCTTATCGCGCCCCTCTTTGCAGGTCTCAACGTCGTCGAGGTCGGCGCCAAGGCCAAGAGCAAGAAGTAAACCTTCCTGAACTCTCGCCCTTTCTTGCCCATCCTCGTTCCTGCACGCACGCACGCCATGGCCTCTTGTTCTACTACTACCTCGCCCACCCACCCAAAAAAGCAGCAACATGACACACATACGCACATGCGCACCCACACACCTCTTGTAGCACCACCCATGTCCACGTCTTCCCCTCTCTGCTGGAGGGGGGAAAGGTGGAAGGCGATGTCGTCTCTGTCTCCTTTTCTCTTCCTCCTGTTTTTGCTGCTCTAGAGGGAAGAGGCGGGAAGAGAGCGACAGTGTCAATCGCCAGCCAGATTTTGCAGCATGGCATAGCATGCACGCATCCACGCACTCAGCGTCGCACGATGGGGCTTTGTCCTTGAGAGTCAGGGAAGAAGGGAGAGGATGCGACGGGAGAGGTTGCGATGGGGACGGGATTTGTTCGCGCGATGCTGGCACGCCCGTGTGGTTCGGTATCCAAGGTGTAGCTCGGCCCGCCGCCGTTCTGACGCTCCGCTGCCGTCCTGCACCACGAACTGCCCCTCTCGCGCCCGCCGCTCCACCCCGGGACTGCAGTCAAGGGGGCCACCACCGCATCTCGCCCCCCCCTCTGTCTAGCCTGAAGAGCAGTAGTCTGCTTCATTTCAGTCAGTCGGTAGACGATCGAGGGCGCGGGCAGAGCCCCCTCGTCGCTGTTGAGGTCGCGGTGATGGGAAGTGTTGCAGCCGCGGGCGACGAGAGGCGATGCTGCGGTCGAGGTTCGGCGTGGATCGAGGGCTTGCTTGCAATCGGCCGAGAGGAGGCACGCGAAAAGAAAAAGCCAAAGATCGACGGCCTGGCAGGCTGGGCTGGCTGCCTGTCGCTCTGTCTTCTGGTCTTCCCCTCTCTCTTCGCCCCCCTGACCCACCCCTACTTTTCCACCACCATCACCTTCGCTGCCTTCTTCATCGAAGCCCGCCATCAATATCGACACTCCTGCTTCTCCTCTGCCTGATTTCGGTCCATCGACCGCATCTCGTCCCGCATTGCTCGATCCCACTCCATCCCCATTCGCCCCAATCACCTCCCCCTCCCCACACCCTCGCCTGTGATATCACCACAAACTATAACCTCCCACGAACCCCTCGACCGGCAGAGCCTGCACCTTCGTCGGGGCGATGCCCACATGGAGGTGCGGGTTCGGTTTTGTCGCCCCTCCCTTCTTTTGAGGGGAGGGGACCAGCGTCGAATACGGGGAAGACAAACGACCGGCATATCGCTCTGCCGTATCAGCCTCCCTATCTCCTACTTCTCTTCCATGGTAGGGTCGGCTCGTTGGTTAGAGCACATTCCCCTCCCCGCCCCCGCTCCCCTTCTGCCCCCTTCCACCATACCCATGCCTGCCCTGTTCGGTCCTGGATCTACGCTGGTTTCCGCTTTGCTCTTTGCAATCAAGCTGTCTCGTATTTCCGCCCGCCCTCAGCTTGACCAGATGTGCATCGTGGCGTCGTAAAAAGAACAGCTGTATACGTTGCGCTTCGCCGCCGACGATGATGACGACGACGACGACGATGACGAGGGAGAGAGGCCGCGATCCCAGTCGCAGCCGTAGGCGAGGCTGGCGTGGTCGTCGAAGCGGGTGACGATGTCCATCTCGTCGCCCCTCTGCAGCTTGGCGCCGGGCTCGAGCTGGGCAATCGAGGGGAGCGAGAGGACCTTGAAGCCGTCGTGCATGCACCCTACGAGGAGGAGCGACGGGTCGGTCGGGTGCCACTTTGTCCTCCATACGCCCCCTCCCACGGGCGTCTCCGAGACGGGGCGGAGGGGAGCGCGGGCGTCAAAGAGGCGCACGTTGGCGTCGTAGCTGCCCACGGCCCAGAGGTGCTGGCGCAGGTGGTGGCTCTGCATCGACGTCACGCCGCCGTCGAAGCCCCGTGTGACGGCAAACGTCGGTCGCCGCCCCGCGCCCGTGTTGGGCGTGCGGAGGTCCCAGCCCTTCATGGCCAAGTCGTCGCCACCGCTCCACACCACCTGGCCGCCCGACCAGCAGTCAAAGGCGGCGATCCAGGCCTCAAAGTCGTGCGCGTGCCACGTCTCCAGCCCGCGCGGCCTCGAGGGGTAGGCCAGGTTGAGCTGGTCATGTCGATCCCGGTGCATCGCCTCGCGCTCGTCGGACGAATTCCGGTCGTCGTCGTCATCGTCGTCGTCGTCGTCGTCGTTGTCGTCAGAGGCGGGTGCAGGTGCAGGCTTCTGATCGAGATGCGTGCTGGCCAGCGAATCCTCTATGCTCTCTGACTGCAGCGCCTCTGCCACACTCGGCAGAAAGGCGAGCGAGCCGTCGCTCTGGCTGACGATGAGGGCGGCGTCGCTGCTGGCCTCGCGCCTATGGAGCTGGGCGTCAGGATAGCCGTGGTGATGGCCGCCTGTGCGGTCGGACCAGTCGAGGCTGAGGCAGAGGGCGTTCTTGTGGTTGATCTTGAGGATCGCCAGCTCGTCAAGGCAATATGCGTTGGCGGTGTCGGCGCCGGTGGAGCGGACGAGGCGGTGGATGGTGACGTGGCCCTGGGCGTTGGCCACGCCCAGCGTGCCGAGGGATCTGGAGGGCGGGACCGCGGTCGATGCTGATGGCGTCGGTGTGAGGTCGGCGAGGGACCACTTCGTGTCGAGGATGGCGGGCATAGAGTGCTGGTCGACGACCTGGCTGGTCATGTTGCCGTCCGGGGTGGGTGCGGCGGTACGGATGGAGCAGGTCCCTCTGCGAGAGTAGGCCGGTCCCCGACTCGGCGTGCCGTCGTCGTCGTCGTCGTCGTCGTCGTCGTCGTCGCCATTGGCGTGACATGCCTGTGCATCATCTGGGCGGTCATGGCCTGCCTTTCCTCGATGTGCGTCGAGCTCATGCTGGTCTACCTGGTAGGTTGCGAGGGCAAAGACGCCCTGGATGCCCGGCAGTGATTCGATCGAGTCGGCGCAGAGGTGGGTGGAGCAGGTGAAGAGCGAGGTGGCCTCTGTACGCGGGGTCGGTCGGGCGTGATATCAGCCGGGATGTGTTGTTGTGCGGCTTGCAAGCGGCCTCGACTCACGCATGGTCGCGACCCGGCCGGGGAGCAGGAGCGGAGGTGGTGGGCGGAGTGCCGGGAGCGACGAGCAGCGATGATGGGACGACGTCGAGGACGGGCGTTGAAAATCGCCTCGGAAAATCACGAGGAAAACCCTGAAATCGAGCGGGGCGAAAGGGCCTCCACATGCAAGAGGCCAGGCGGCGGACAGGCGCGCCCTCTGCACGCACGGACAGGCGCGGCTGCCAGGCTGCCAGGCCACCAGACCACCAGGCCAAGCAAAAAGACAGGCATGCACGCCTGCCGGCCCTCCTGGCAGAGAAGCACACGCACGCCTGACCAAACGTCGCGAGACCCCGTCTGAGCAGACTGTCGGCCAAGCCGCCCATCCCTTCAACTCCTTCACGGCTTCCCTCCCCCCTCCTCTCGCTCCGCCACCACCTTGTCTCGACCGCCCACCGACGACGCTCGCCACCACCAGCCTCGCACCGGATATCGCAGGCAGCCACACTCGGCCACGCTAGCCAGCCAGGCATCCCTGTACGCGACATCCTCTTCGGCCTCCCCTCTCCGCTCCCATGCCGCCCATCCACGCTTCCTCGCCCCTCAGTCATCCAACCCTGAGCTAGTCTGGTCGGCAGGGTCCCGATCGCTGCTCATTCCCACCACCACCACCACCACCACCGCCACCGCAACATGGATCACAAACCCCCCTCCTCGCCCATCAGCGTACCCACCGCCATCGTACTCGGCCTCGTCGCAAGCTTCGTACAGAGCCTCGGTGAGCCATAGTCACCGCCATCCCACGTCCTGCAGCCCCATCCCCGACCGCTGACCTGTGCTTCGTTCCCCCTCTGCCTGCCCTCCGCCCTTCCCGCCCGCCCGACAGGCCTCACCATACAGCGCAAGTCGCACCTTCAGAATGAAGCCCTGCCCGCCGCACGCAGGCGCTCCGAGTGGAAGCGCCCCCTCTGGCTCATCGGCTTCGCCATCTTCCTCTGCGCAAACGTAGGCGGAACCGTATTCCAGATCGGCGCACTCCCCATCGTCATGCTCGCCCCGCTCGGCGCCGTCAGCCTCCTCTACAATGCCCTCCTCGCCAGATACCTCCTCAACGACTTTCTCTCGGCCTACATGATCGTCGGCACCGCCCTCATCGCCACGGGGGCCGTGCTGATTGGTTACTTTGGCGTCGTCCCCTCGACCGCACACGACCTCGACGAGCTCCTCGAACTCTACGGACGACCCACCTTTGTCGCCTTTGCCACCATCTTCCTCTTCCTCTTCATCGGCGTCCTCGCCGTGTCGCATCTCGCCGAGTGGCAGCTCAACGCCCGGCTAGCGCGCACCACGTCTCCGCCGGCAAAGTCAAAGTCGAGGCGCCACCTCTCGCGGTCGCGGCTTCGGCGCAGGTGGTCTGCCCCTTCGCTGGCGCCCGTCGCAGAGGTCAGCGAGAGCAGCTCCGGCATCGCCACGCCTGTGCTGGCCGTCGCAGATGAAATGGCAAGGCGGAGCGTGATCCTCAGCGGCGCCGACATCAAACCGCCGCCATCGAGCCTCGCGCAGTCTCGGCAGCGCGACTACGGCGCCCTCGGCCACGGCAGCGCCGCCGCCGGGTCCAAGGGCAACGGTAACGGCAGCGGCAGCGCCAAGAAGCGCGGTCGGAGAAGTAGCGTCGAGGTGCCGCGGCTCGAAGCGAGAGAGGACCGAGAGCCGCTCGACCCCGAAAGCGTCAAAAAGACCAAGCTGATGCTCGCCGTCGCCTACGGTGGCGCCAGCGGCACCATGTCCGGCGCGTGCCTGCTGCTCGCCAAGAGCGGCGTTGAGCTGCTCATGCTGTCGTTCTCGGGCCACAACCAGTTCGTGCGATGGCAGAGCTGGATGCTCATCGCCGTGCTGCTCGGCGCGGCTCTACTGCAGGTGAGTGTCGGGCGTCGATCTGCGAGCGAAGCAGCTTCCGCCGCCATCTGCTCACGCCTGAACCTCTCCTCCTCTACTCACTGCTGCCCTCGGCCCAGCTTTGGTACCTCAACAAGGCGCTTAAGCTCGTGGATCCGACCCTGGTTTGCCCGCTGGCATTCTGCTTCTACAACACTTCGTCGATCGCCCTCGGCCTCGTCTACTTTGACCAGCTCGGCGCGCTGGCGTGGTACGACATCCTGGCTGTCGTCGTCGGCATCTCGGTGCTGCTGGCCGGCGTGTGGATCGTCAGCCTCCACGGCAGCAGCGAGGGCGACGGGCACGACACCGAAGAGACTGTCTCGCTGCTCTCTGCGACGAGCGTCCATACCGCCTCGACGCCGACCGAGCGGCTGGAGCAGGCCGAGGGTCTGCTGGCCAACGCTGCCGGGATCGCAGGCCCGCACCTGCCGTTTGACGCATCGCCTTCGGCGGGCTGCCACAGCGACGCCGCGTCCGAGATCTCGATCGATACCCAGCTGTCGAGCCCCGAGGCGGTCAACACGCAAATCTTGCCCGTCTCGCCGACACACTCTCGATACCCATCGGCGGCGGAATCACCGACATCGTCGCCCTCCAAGAGCCCGGCGTCCAAGCGGCGCACCAGCAGCAGCTCGCGACGCAGACCGACAATCACGCTCGACTTCCCGCTTCCAGAGAGCCTGTTCCACCCGTCATCGCCGATGCCGTCGGCGGAGCAGCGCGGTGCGGACGTCGAGAGGGGCGAGTCGGCGGCGCACGCAGAGGGAGGCGGTGGCGGTGGGGGCAAGCCGCGGTCGGCGTTCTACAACACCATTGTCGAGCACGGCCTGAGCATCGGCCTCAGTCCGAGCTCGCCGGGCTTCCATCTGCAGCCTCGATCGCCCTCGAATCCGCGGATGCCGGCGAGCCAGAGCGGACCGCTGTACGGGGCCCACGGCGCGAGGCGCAGACCGGGGCGGCATCCGAGACGTGCCATGTCGGAAGCGGACGCCTCGTCGCATCCCGCCGCCGCTGCTGCTGCCCCGTATACACCCGACATTGAGGCGGGAGACGCGACGACGAGCGTTGCTGCCGGCGAAGAGGACGAGGCAGGAGAGGGGGACGACAATGGGGCGTCGTCCGGATTCGCCGTGGAGCCCGACCAGAGTCTACTGCGAAGGCGACTGGAACAGGTCAAGGCGCGGGGACGGAGGTGGTTGAACCTCGACGCTCTCTGGTCGTCGTCTGCCTCGGCTTCCGACCGCCTCGACGGGGCGGGGACGAGCCGGAGTCCCGCTTCGCCCTTCTCTTCGTCTTCGCCACGTGGGGGAGCGACACGGCATCGTGCTGCACCGTCTTCCTCCTCGAGAACGGGGACGACGACGACGACGACGACGACGGCAACGACGGCAATAGGGCTCGGTCTACAAACCGACCATCGTGACGACGACCACGACGACGACGAGAGTCGGCCCCTCTTACCGTCCCGTCCTCCAAGATGATGCCGATCGATATCGACGTCAATGACGCGGCGCAAGACAGGAGCCAAAAAGGAGAGAGAGGGAAGTAGAAAGCGGCGGGGTATGGCTCGCCGTTTCCGGAGGCACATTGTAGCATTGCACGTCCTGTCCTGTCCTGTCCTGCGCATCTTGCCGTTGCTCGGCTCGCCTTGGTTCGGCTCGGCTTCATCTCGACCCCGCGGGGGAGGCCTTCGCATCATCAGCGCCGTCGTCATCCCCACATGCCGCCGCCGCCAAACGCCTGCTGACCCGCCTGGACGGCGTAGAGGCCGTTTTGACCGGACTGGCCCTGCATCTGCATCTGCTGCCCATACTGCTGCCCCTGCCCCTGCTGTTGCTGCTGCGGCTGTTGGGTCTGGTAGAGCCCTTGCTGGTTGGGCATCATGGCGCTCGCAAACGTGCCAAACGGCGACGTGGCGCCATTCTGCTGCTGCTGCTGCTGTATCCCCATGCCCATCCCCATTCCCATGCCCATGCCGGTGGCAAGACCAGGTGATGGCGAGGCAGACGGGCTGGCCGCGAACCCGCCAAACGAGCCCGCACCACCACCACCACCACCACCACCGCCGCCGGCGCCGAGGAACCCACTCTGCTGCGGCGCCATTCCACCTGCGCCGCCACCGCCAGGCGACGAGAATGGGTTGCCGACCGCCGCCGGCGAAAAGGCCATGGAACCGAGACTCGCGCTGCGGTACTGCTGCTGCTGCGGCGAGAACCCGCCCATCCCCCCTATCCCCCCGCCGACGCCGGCGCCGAACATCGACTGCTGCTGCTGCTGCTGCTGCTGCTGCTGCCCATCGGGCAAGGTGAGGGAAAAGTTGGGCAGCGTATTGGCGTGCTGCGGTGGTGGCGGTCGTGCTCCAAACGCCGTCGCTCCCAGGTGTGTCGCGCTCAACCCCTGCGCCTGCATTCCGCCGAACGGCGATGTGGCTGAGCCACCCATGCCAGATGCCCAGAAGTTGGCCGAGGGATCCTGTGGCGCCGGCGAGCTAAACATCGGCTGCTGCTGCTGCTGCGCTTGGAGGTGCGACCAGGGGTTCATTTGCGGCGGCGGCTGCGATGTGCCGTTCGAAGGGCCGCTGAGCGAGACGAGGTCGTCGAACACGCTCGATTGGGCCGTCGGCTGGCCTGCGCCCTGAGCCGGCACAGACCGGGCGCTGGGTATCGCACTCGATGCGCGTGGCGGCACGGCCGAGGGCGGTCCCAGGGACGAAGAGGCCGTCGTAATCGTCGACCTCGTCGCAGCAGCAGCGGAAGCAGCAGTGCCGGCCGCGGCGGAGGATGCTGCGCCGGCGGGCATGGGCGGCGGCTTGGGCTCGGTGCTGCGGGCTCGAGCCTGGGCCTCGGCCCACGTAGATGGGATGGGGGCGGTGCGGGAGCGCGAGATGCTGTTGGCTTTTGCGAGACGGTCCGAGGGTACGCCGAGCATCGAGTCCTGTCCCGTCATCTGCCGGCGGCCGCTGCTGACGCCGTTGGAGATGCCGTTCCTCTGCTGCTGCTGCTGCGACAGGGACGATATCGACGAGGACGACGAGGCTACTGGCGACGAGGGCGATCGGAGCGACGATGCGGGCGACGACGACGAGGGCAGGCGGAGGAAAGTGGCGTCCTTTTTGGGCACGGGCGGTGGCTTGGCGTCGATGAACTTGCGGTACTCGTACTTTGCGCGTATGAACTTTTCCAGCTCGCTGTCTCGCTCGCTCTCCTCGATGTTGGTGGGCGGGCGGTTGCGGACCTCGTCCGGATTGAAGATGCGGTTGCTCTTGAGGTTGCCCATGTCCTTCATCTTGTCCACCTGCTCGCGGGTCCAGGTGTCGAGGGTCAGGGACTTGACCTTGGAGATGTGGGTGCCCATCTTTCGGTGGACGCCGGCGCACTGCACGCAGAGAAAGATGCCGAGGTTCCAGGATGCCCAGCGCGGCGCTCTCCCGCGGCAGTCTGCGCAGACGTCGTTGCCCGGCTGGCGCGAGAGCTCGACGAGCATGCGCTGGTGGCGCTCCTGCGTCGCCTTTGAGTTCATGGCTGGCAGCGCGGGTGCCGAGGCGGGCCAGAAAGGAGCAGACTGTGCCGCGCTGTGGTCTCGGGCAGAGGGGAGGAGCGCGCGGGAGGGTGGGCCTCAGAAGCTGGTGGGGGCTGAGAGATGGCGACGGCGTGACGAGGCGTGGCGAGGCGGAAAAATGTGGCGGAGGTGTTGGTGTTGGTGTTGGTGTTGACGACGGTCGAAGGTAGCGGAGTCGAGGGCAGGAGTGTGAGAGAGAGAGCGCGGCAGAGTGTGCAGGCGGTGTGCTGGGTCGGCCTGCCTGGCCTGGCCTGGCTAGGTGGGCCGCCTGCGTGTGGCCGTGGCGCGATTTTTCGCAAGCTCGTTGCCGCTGCCAGGACCGACGCACGAAGAAGGCGAAAAGGGCGTGGGCCCGCTCGCCCATTTGCCCGCCCCTCCGCGTTGGCGCCTGGCCCCTTGGACCGCCGGATCTCGTCGCCCGCCGTGGCCGTGGCCGTGGCCTTGCCTGCCCGCAGCTGCACCCGACGGAGCGTGCGGGGGCGGGTTCGTCTTGTCGGACCGCTTGAATCCAAGCGCAGCGCAGCGTCAAACGAAGCTAAGGCGGATATCGGCCCGCTCACCATCTTGCATCCCGCCCAGCCAGGCCGTTCGGATCCACGGCCGCGCGGCCCGACGTTGACGAGCACGCCTGCTCTCGACAGGGAAGATGCCGGCGGAGAGGGGGGCCGAGCCGACGCAGCGCCGGGCAGGGTCCGCTCCTCTTGCGCTCTCCTGACTTTTCGACGACGACGCCGCCGCTTGCGAGCCAGAAGAAGCTGCCGGATTCCTCTTCGTCGGCTTGGCCTGGCCCCGGGGCTCTGGCCAGCAGAGGGATCGCGGCGCCAGAAGCGATCCAGACTCTAGCCCAGCCTGCCTTACTTCTTGCTCCATGACGAAGCGGCGGTCTCAGCGAGAGACAAGCTGAGAGGCTAGGCCAGGCCAGCACGCGCGTGACCTGCCCGTCGTCCTTGGCCGCTGCCTTCACCAGCGAAAAAGCAAGGTTGGCTCGCCAGCGGGCCAAGCCACAGGTTGGCTCCTCGACTCGACTCTGAAGCGGGCCCACGATCGAAGAGGTGGAGAGGGGAGATGGAAGGCTGCGCAGGCCCCGGACATGCCATGGCAAGGTCGTCGCCCGCATCCCTGCTGGGCATGCTTGTCGGTCGGTCGTCGTCGTCGGCGAGACTTTCCGACGATGTATGGGAAGCCAGCCAGCCAGCCAGCCGGCCAGCCAGCCAGCCAGCCAGCCAGCCGGCCAGCCAGCCAGCCAGCCAGCCAGCCAGCCAGCCAGCCAGCCAGCCAGCCAGCCGGCCAGCCAGCCAGCCAGCCAGCCAGCCAGCCAGCCAGCCAGCCAGCCAGCCAGCCAGCCAGCCTTCGGTCGAGATCTGCCGACGCGATAACGATGCCAGGCCGGGCGAAGGCAGACCGTTCCGCTGGTCGGCGGAGGTGGATGGCCACGCCTCTCGAGTTCTCCCTCTCTCCCGCCTCGTCTCGGCGTCTTCTGCGGGGCCTCCACGTCGATGACGGCCTTGAACGTCACCCTCGGAGCTAAGGAGAGCGAAGCCGCTCGGAAGACGTGATGGCGGCAAGAAGGCCAGGCCAGGTCCTTTGTCGCCGAGGGAAAGGCAAGCAAGCAGCAGCAGGCCAGCAAGCAAGGCGAGTCCGCAGGTGGGCCAGGTAGGCCGTCGAGGTCGTGTGGGCCACGGCTCGAGGTTGCCGGGCGCGCGGCCCTCTGCGCAGCGGACAGGCGGACAGGCAGGCAGGCAGGCAGGCAGGCAGGCAGGCAAGCACGGCGACAACGAACGCAGCAACGGGCATGAGCAGCGGAGCAAGCGGCGTCGAGAGGGCGGCAGGCCCTCTGCTCTTTCTCTTCTGGTGGCTTTCCGTCGCTCTGCCGGCCTGCCTCGCTCTCTGCCTTGGTCGCCCGTGCGCAGGCTGCCCGCGAGCGAGCGGTGGTTGGGCACCTTTGCAGCCAGCCAAGAAGGCTGCCCAGCCAGGAGCAAGCAAGCTTGAGAGGCAGGTCAAAGACGCGCGACATAGCCGAGCGGGGCCGTTGCCTTTGCTGCCTGCTTAGCCTGGCCTGGCTGGCTGGTTGCCCGCCCACAGCCTTGCTTGCCCGCCTGCGCCTCGGCAAAGCAGAGCTTCTCCACACATCTCTCGGTCGCCCGCCCGCACGCACGGCGCAGCAGCCCGACTGGCAGGCTGGCAGGCTGGCAGGCTGGCTGGCTCAGGTAGGCTAGGGTACGGCGGGTCGCTGCATGGAATCCGCCCAAGCTTAGGCCAGGCCAGGCAGCTGGCCCGTGTGTGGATGGGGGCCGCTGCTCTTTTTTCTCTCTCTCTCTCTGCCTCGCGCTGCCTGGTTGCCTGCCTGCCCTCCCGCCTGGCCTGCTGATGAGGCGGGGTCTTGCCTGCCTGCCAACGTCTGCTGCTCAGGTGCCTGCCCCGCCGCTGCTGCTCTGCGTGGCAGCCTACCCTGGGATGCGCTTGCGCAGCTTCCCCACAAGGGTCATCTCTACCTTGCTTGGGCCCCGGCCCTGGCTGCCGCTAAATAGGGCGACGGACGACGCTGCCCTTCCTCTTTGGGCCCAGCCCTTCGCTCTTTTGCTTCCATCCTACCATCGCCACCATTGCTATCCCCATCTTGGCCATCCTACTCTACCACTGTCGCCGCCGCTGCTGCCGCTGCACCCATCATCTGCCATCGCTACAGCCAATCTAGCCCCCTTCGCACGAGGAATCCACGACAGGACCACAAAACACATACACCTGGACGCAGCCTTGGAAAACCACGCCTCTACGACCACCAGCGCCGCCGAACGCGATCAGATTCGCCACCAGACTTCATCTCAGCCTTCGGATCTCCAGGCACCGAGCTCAGCTTTTCTCGTCAGACCGCCCCTCGTTTTCTCGTCGTCGCAAGCCAGCACCGCCATCCTCGTCGGCGCTCCGTTCCGTACCGTACCCGATACCCCACCGCTCTCTGCTCCTGCAAACGCAAGTCAGACGCTCCCAGCAGCCCCAGGGAACCCCTCTGCGCGCCAGCCAAAGCACTCGTCCCTAGTTTACGCCAGGTTGCCGACGCTCTTTCCCGGAATCAAAACCCTTCGCTCGAAAGGCACCGGAATCTCGTTCCCGTCACCGTAATCGTCACTGTCACCCCTCTCGCGTCACCTACTCCTGGTAACTCGTTCTCTCGGACCTGGCGACAATGGCTTCTCCTACCGCTATTCCGCACCCCGAGACCTCGTCCCACCACCGCAGCGCTACGACGCCGGACGTCGCCAGCGAGAGCTCTTTCCGACCCAGCAAGCCCTCCTACTCGCCGCCCTCGGCCTCGTCAATCTACACCAAGGCCACGGGCGCCTTTTCCAAGTCGGCCGGCGCCGGCTCGGGCCTCGCCACCAGCCCCACGGGCCTCCGACTCCCCCTCGGCATGAGCATCGGCCGTGGCCTCCCTAGCCCCCCTAACCCCAACGACGGCTCTCCTAGCCACACGCGTGCCCGATCGCAGACCACCACCTGCGCCCTCGGCGTCAAGCCCGAGACTTTCGACGACCGCCTGCCCGTCGCCAAGGCGCCCGGCTTCTTCGACTCGGCAGGCAGATCGCCCACGAGCTCGTCGCAGGTGTCGTCGAGCGACCCGTTCCTCTCGCGAAGCCCCACTAGCCCGTCGTCGGTCTCGTCGGCCAACACCGCCTCGTCGGCGGGCAACAACAGCGGCTTCCAGACCACCTACGCCCTCGGACGCGTGCCCTCGCTGCCCCTGGGCACGTCGTACGAGCAGGCCCAGAAGAGATTCAACAGCGGCAGCTGGTCGCAGAGCGGCGGCTGGGCATTCGGCAGCCTCCGTGGCGGGGCGTCTCAGGCCTACAGCGGCAGGGCGGGCGACGACACCGGCGGCGGCGGAGGCGGGGGAGGAGGCGGAGGCGGCGTGGGTGGCCTCTTGCGCCGCTTCAGCATGGGTGGCGGCCACCACCACCGCCCTCAGCTATCGCCCGAGCACCGCTACAGCGTCGGATCCGCCGCCGACTTTGACAGGAGCGCCACCCCGACGGGCGCCTCCGCCGTCCCGCGCAGCCAGGTCGACCCGGGCCACGGGCATGCCGCGCGCGACTCGGGCGTAGGCTTCAACGAGCAGCGCGAGCCGGCCCACAAGGGCATGGTGGGAGCGGCCGCAGCGGCGCCCGCACCCCCTCCGCCTCAGCAGACGTCGCCTCGCGGCCGCCAGGGCAGCCTCTCGGGCAGCGGCAAGAGGAAGCCAAGCCCCATGGGCGAGCGCCTGTTGATGGGCCACTTTACCGCCCACTAGGGCAGTACTCCTCCCTCCCACGCCGCCGAGCCATCGCCTCGGCCTGTGCAGCAGCCCCCAGCCTGCGCACGAACAACGAACCCGCCGGCGCAACGAGCCCGGTACGACTCTCGACCCTCCATCTGTATTTGTGACTTTGCGACATCTCGCTCGATTCCTTGGCCGTTTTCTCGAGCCTCGCCTCCGCCTCCGTCTTCGCTTCCGCGCCCGCCGTCGCTTGCGCCTCGCTCGCCCGCCCGTCCGTCCGTCCGTCCGCCTCTTTTCCTTTTGCATTCCCCGCCGCCACACCATACCATACCAAGCCAGACCCCACACCATCGCCACGCCTAGCCTGTACACCTCTTGCCGTCGGTCCGTTTCGAGTCTCGACCTCGCGCCCCGTGTCTTCTGCAACGGTTTCGCTCGTCTTCTCTTGTCTGATTTCCGGTCGCGATCTCGTACCTGATGCGCTCTGGTCGCCGTTTGTCGTGATCGCTTCCACGGTATAATCCGCCGGCCCGTGTTGAATTCGACGTCGAATCACGATGGGCCGTGGTGGATTGCCGTCGTCTGGATCGCCCCTGTGGCTCGATGTAGGTTGATCGGCCTGGTCGTCTGCCGCTGCATGGTTACGGTTGCAGAAGCTGGCAGGTCGAGTGCGGCGTGGTGCGACGTGGTGCGACGTGGTGCGACGCAACGAATCAAGCAAGCTGAGGCTCGCGTGCGTGCCACCAGGGCCCGCCTGCCGTCCGCCGACGAGGGCAGACACGCGGGCAGACCTCGATCTGTGATCTCTAGTCACCTGCCTGTCCTCGGCTTTTCTGCCCAGGGCCATTCTGCTGGGGTGGTATTTTTGGCAGCAGCGTCGGCCAAAAGGCTAGGGCGCAACACCGCAGCGCTGCGTCCTGGGCCGACTCTTCTGACTTTGACGCACCACAACATCGACCTCAGCGGAACGGTTGTTGACCGAAAAGTCGAGGCGACGGCATGGCGCACAAAGGAGCCGGAGCCTGGGTCAGTACAGAACTTGACCGGCAAGCAAGAGTCGGCGACTTGTGTGGGTGTCACCTCGCCACAGCCAACACATACAAAAGGATCGTCTGGTCTGACCTGGCCTGGCCGTACGCCGATCAGACCGAGAGCGTGTTTGCGGTTCGAGCGCCAGCATAGAACGACGGCGACGACAATAATCGTGTTGGTGGCCTGCCCCGCCTTTTGTGTTTGCCGGGCGGTGCTGCCGAGCAGGCTGGCCAGGCCAGGCCAGAGCAGGCGAGCTGGCCAAGCGATGGCGTCGCGAGGCGGAATTACGTATGAAGGACATATGTACATCGGTCGCCCCCGCCTGCCAAGCTGTGTAGCTGCTAGCTGAGCTAGAAGACTGCGCTGCGAACCGGCGGCCAAAGAAGCTAAGGGGCGCATGCATCGGCCCAGGCCGCTTGCTGCTTGCTTGCTTGCTTGCGTGTGGCCGGCCAAAAGCAGGCAGGGCAAAGCAGGGCGGCATGGGCGTGCAGCCAGCCTCGCCAGCCTAGCCAGCCAGCGGCGTGGCGCAAGGGCGTGGCGTGGCCAGGCCACCTGGGCAGGCCCGCAGGCAAGGGTTGAGCCTTTCGCCCTGGCTGATCCGCCGCTGCTTCTTGGCTAGCAAGCTAAGCTTCCCACTCCACCTGCCCTGCCTGCCTGGCCCGCCAACACGCACGCTGCCCCGACCCTCCCCAAGCACTCACCGAGCTTCCACCATCTCCCCGAACTCTTCTTGGCTTCCATCCGACGACGCTTCCTCGCCATTTGTTCTGCCATGCGCTCCGCTCGTTGACCACCGCACCGCTCCGCATCCACATTCCGCCTGGCTCTCTCGACGCAGAACATCACACACATACCTCGGCCCATGCATCATCGACCTCGTCTGGCCAGCTTCGTATCATCGCCTCGCCTCGCCTCGCCTCGCCCTGGCCCCACCCTCGCATTCGCATCTGAGCCTCGCCCATCCATTCCGACTGCACACATCCTACCGTCGAGCTTCTGCGGCGTCCATTCGTCCCCTCGTCTCATCTGCATGCGTCCCACTGTCCGCGCTCTCGACCTCGCCGCACACGATCTCGTCCAGTGCACCAGGTGACGGCCCCAGAAGGCCCGCTCCCTGCACCAGCCGCGCTCGTAGACGCTCGCCAGTCGTCACCCGCTCAGCCCGTCGTCACAGGCCGAGTGGCCGCTCCGACGTCGGCCATGGCGCTCCACCAGCTCTTCACGCTGGCGTTTGCGCTCCAGCTCGAGCCCCTGCCTACGCTCGACTACGTCGCAGCGCACCACGACGACGATCAGGAGCCCGGCAATGACGACTTCCGCGTCGGCGCAAACACCTTTCTCGAGCCCATCGTCTCGCGCCACCCGCCGCACCCCGTACACACCATCTCGTTCCTGCTGCAGCACACCAACGCCCTGGACGCCGTTGCGCCCTGGTCCGACCTCATCGCGCTGCTGGCCAGGGCCGACGACGATCCCTCTTTCAAGAACCTGCGCGAGTTCTTCGACGCTCGATACGATGACAGCGGCAGGCTGATTGGCGCCGATCCGCCGCCCAAGAAGCCCTCGAGCCCGACCAGGCGCCTCCGCAGCGCATCGCGCAGCACCGCTTTTGCGCCGCCAACGCGCAGGAGCAGCCAGGCCGCCGCCGACGGCAGAAAGGCCTCGTTCGCGCAGAGCATCGGCGGCGCGGCCGCCTTGAAGCTCGGCTGGTTGCGCAAAAACACTGGCGAGAGCGCCGGCGCCTCTCATGGCGACTTCTCCGACGACGAGGTGCAGTCGAGCCATTCGCGTGACGGATCCCTTCCCCAGCCCAAGGCCTACTATGCAGCTTCCGAGATTCAGTTTGTCAGGACGCAAGGTACTGGCAACGCAGAGTGCGTCTCCGTGCCCGTCGCCGCATCGAGCGTCACCCCGACCGGTGCCGGCAAGGGCGGTCAGTCGGTCAAGACGGTGCGCTTCAACGTCCGCCTCGACCTGCACAGCGTCGGTCTCGCACCGCATCCGCCAAGATCTGCGCGCAGACAGAGCGGCGCATCATCCCATCCGCGCAGAGTCTCTGATCCATCGGAAGCGTCTTCGATCGAGCGGGTGCCGAGCCGGGCGCCGTCGGGCCGGTACGAAGGAGCCGCTCTCGCGGGCGGCCAGGACCTAGCTCAGGCCATCAGCCCCATAAGCTCGAGGTCGTTTGGAGGCCTCAGCGACGAGATGCACGACTCGAACCATGCTGGCGTCGAGACGCCGTCGTCGCCGACAGCGAGGCGGAAAGGAAGCTCGACGAGCCTCGCTGGCGCTGGCCCACCCGGCGGCTCGAGCGCGGGCGGCGCTAGCGGCAAGGCTACGCGACGGCCCTCGATGATGTCCAAGCTGCTCGATTTCGGACTGCGGAAGCGCTCCACCACCGAGCGGAGCGATACCATCGACAGCAGGGACGGCACAGGAAGCGAAGCATCCTCCCAGCATGCTCCGTCAGAGCAGGGCGGCTCTCATTTGGCGCATGCCAAGCGAGTGCCGTCAGGCTTGAGCCACCTCCGTGCCAACGGCAGTTTTAACCGGGGCCACAGTGGCGACGAAGACGAAGGCGACAACGATGACGAGGCGCTCGACCTGGCTGAAGAGGAGGACGGGGAAGCGGGCGCAGAGGGCGAGGGCGGAGCAGCGTCGGCTCGAGTGGCAAGACGAGGCTCGTCGCACCGTCAGCTTGGGGAACCGGCACAGCTGTCGAGGCGGCGCAGCTCGAACGGCAGCTCCGGCCGTGCAGGCCTCTTGCAAAGCGCCATCTCGATGGAACCCGACCTGGGCCCGGTGCGCGAGGATGGCACCTTCGAGATCGAGCGTTTCACCACGCGCTCCAGCATCGATGCCCGCTCGATCTCGGCGCTCGGCGACGTCGAGCCGTCGGACGAGGCCCGAGAGGCCCAGGACCGGATGCTGGCAGACGGTCGCGACTTTATCAGCCTGCTTCGCGCCGCCAGCGAGATGGCGCTGCGTCTGGCCGAGGCGGCCGGGGAACAGAGGCAGGCCGACGAAGGCTCGAACTCCTCCCTCGCGGCAGCCGAAGGAGGACCAGCAACCACACCGAGAAACGAGATGGACGCGCAGCCGCAGTGGATGAGCGACAAGGCGCGGGGCAAGCGACCGGAGGCCAGCGGCAACACGACGCCGTCAGGATCTGGCGCTGGCCCGCAGGTGCGACCCAAGACGTCGTCGGTCCCGTCGACGCCCTCGATCAAGGAGCGATCCTTTGACCTCGAAAGGTCGCCCAACCCTTTCGCGCGATCCGACGCCCATGGCGCTTCGAGCGGCGACGATGGCAACCGACACTCGGTCGAGCCTTGGTGGCCCTGCGGCGAGGTCGATCCGCTGCCTGTCAGCATCTCGTGCGCGCTCGGGCAGGCGCTCGGCTGGGAGGGCATCATGCAACTCTGCTACGGACGCGGCAGCCGATCGGCTGCAGAGGGCAGCTACGCTCCCCTTGGTCGCGCTGCGGCCCTCGACGAGGCCAACAAGCGGCACGAACGCACGGTCCTGGCATGGAGGACGGGCGTGGCTAGCGCAGACGAAGCGGCGCCGCACGGCGAGGAGCCCATCCCGCCGTCGGTCGACACCACCGCGTCCACTCGGAGCGAGCTTGACTCGTTTTCGACGTCGATTGGCGAGCGCCTCAACCTCGTCGATGATGTCCACGGCGCGGCACAACCCGCCACAGCTGGGACCCAAAATGCCGGCATCGCGACGGGCAACGGCGGCCCTGAGGCCACGGTTGCGCCCAATGCCAATGCCCACGCCAATGGTCCTGCGCCCTACGCTCTGACGACGCTCAAGGATCTGCTCGGCCAGCACAGCGAAGAGGGACGGACGTGGCAGGACTGGATGAACCTCGCTCGGAGCATCCAGGGCTGGATCCAGGACTATGAGACCACGCGGGTCCGAGCCGGGCTGGCGCACGAGATCGGCGTTGAGCCAACGCCGCGAGCACCTGCCTCCGCAGCGGTAGCGGCCCCGGACACGCAGTCGAACGGCCTCGACCCGGTCGAGGCCAAGATCGACATCGATGCTGGCACCGCTGCTGCAGGCGCTGAAGCGTTCCGCACCGCGTCGATCCTTTCCGACCCCGGAGCTGCGACAGATGTCGACCTGCAGCCGTGCCTGTCGCCTCGGCAGCTACAGGTCCCTGCTGTGTTTGGCTCGCCAGAGTCGGGTTCTGCAAAGCTCGGTCGATCGTCGAGCATCAGTGGATCGTCTTTCGGGGCGAGGATGGCGCGACGGCAGCAGCAGCAGCAGCAGTCGCACCAACAGCAGCACAAGCAGTCGGCCGTCGAGGTGGTGCCCGAGTGCGTGCTGCGGGACCTCGTCGACCGGCGCTACGGCTTCCGACGGCGAGGGGGCATCCCTGAAGGCTTGCCGGCGGGTCCAGATGGCGAAGAGTTTGAGGACTACTCGTGGTCAAGGCAGAAGCTCGATGCCCGCCACTTTGCCACTGCTCTCAGTGAGTCTGACTCTGCCGACGATCATCCGAGGCGCCGAATGCTGACCTGTGGTCGCCTTCCCATGTCTCCCATTTCCGCCTTCCCCCTCAGCCATCGGAAGCGACTCGCTATCGCACATGCTCGGGCAGGTGCAGCGGTCAGACTGGGTGCACGCGTCGGCGTGGGAGCTCGACTACCTCGAGATGTGCGTCTTCAAGTCGCCGCTGGTGGCCGAGCGCTTCCCGCCACCGGGCTCAGCCATTGTCCCGTCTGCGCGCTCCTACCAGCCGAGCGAGGGGACGCAGGATCGGACGAAGCTGTGCCCCAACCCGGACGAGAACGGATGCTGGAGCAGCGCCGAGTGGAAGCGGTGGCTGACGACGATCCGCGAAGGCCAGATCATTGTGCCCGCCATTGGGTGGCAGGCGTGGTGGACCCTCATCTCGGTCCTCAACGGCGCCGACAGGACGGGACGCACCTATGACCTCCAGGTCAAGACGCCCGAGGAGCCGTTCGAGGCCCTCACCGACCTCGGCGCCGTCTACATCTGATCGCCGTGGGACCTGCGTCGTTGCGGGCCATTTAGCGCCACCTCTCTCAGTCCTTCCCGCACGGCCGTGTCCTCGGAAGACATCCAATGAGACTCTCTACTCAGCCTCAGCATCAGTCTGTGAGGCTTGCACGAAGCACGGGATGTCATCATTGCTGCTAGTAGTGATGAATAAGGTCCGGGACGGCATTGGTGGTTCTAGGCAGCCTCTTCGCCGGCAGCGCCGCCGGCAGCAGCTGCGGCCGTCTTCTTTGCCATCTTCTTTTCCTCTTCGATGACAATGTTTTTGGCCGCGACGCCGCCGGCCGACTCGGGGGGCAGCTCGTGGAAGGGCTTTGTGCGCGAGACGATGAGCTGCTTGACCTCGTCTGCCACGTCGCCCTGGATGACGATTTCGTCGACGTTTGGGTTCTGCACCGAGCGCGAGACCGAGGCGCCCGTTGCGAGGCGCGACGAGAGCCTGCCAGTGCGCGCGCGCGGACACACGAGGAGAGGTTGGGGACGGGGTCGAGAAGGTGTCAGGGTCGTGAGATTGCGTTGAACAGAGGGATAAAGAGCTGGTGGGTCGAGGAGCTACTCACCCCTTGGCCACGACCTTGAGTGCCGGGAGCGGAGGCGAGAAGGTGTGCAGACCGTTGATGCTCGTCGTTGCCTTGCGCTTGGTCCTGGCCGCCTTTGTGAGGATGATCTTGGACGCCTGCGAGGTGGAACAAGAGCGGAAAGAAGAGAATCATCGATCGTCAGCGGAGGAGGGATGAGCCCATCGACAAGAGGAGGATGAAAGAGAGAGGGCACAGCCTGGGCTGGGGGGGTGCACTCACGGCCTTTTCCTTTTTCTCCTTTTCGGCCTTGGCCTCGGACTTCTTCTCCTTCTTTGCGGCCTCCTTTTCGAGGTCCTCTGCCTGCTTGGTGGTGAGGGCGGCGAGGTTCGAGGTGATGGCCTCCTCGGACCAGATGCGGGCGTAGAGCTGCGGGTGGGCCTCTTGCAGCCAGGCGCGGCACTTTGACGATGAGGGCCCAAACTCGCAGTACTCGGGCGGGAAGGTGCAGATCGAGCAGTACACTACGCTGCGAGGGGCCGGGGGTGCCACCGAGGGTCCGGCGTCGGAGGAGGACATGGCGGTGTTTGAGGTGGTAGGCGGTGTCGAGAGGGGGGGCGCGAAGGGGTTAGTCTGGTGAGGAGAGGGGAGAGGGCGGGAAGGAAAGGAAAGGAGGCAAAGGTGAAGGAAGACGCACGACATACGGCGGCGGCCGCATCGCCAAAAAAAGTGGAGAGGCGGCTCACGTGCGTCGACCGAGCGTGGGCGGAGAGGCCGTCGGTCGGCCTCTGACGGGCAAACGAGGGCGCTCTCTCAGAAGGCTGTGCAGGATGCTGCGCCGTCGACCGACAAAGGTCCAGAACCTCGACCCTCCCCCTGCGCCATCTTCTTCCCATCCACCGACGCCCCCTCATCCCCACCTCTTGCGCCCTATATAGATCGAGCGCCCAACGGGAGAGCCACCTCGATCCTCCTCTCTAGGCCTCCCCCCCACTTTCTTTTTCTGCTCCCTTCTCCCCCATAGATACCCTTGCTTTGGCCCACCATGGACGAGCTCGTACGCTTCCTCAAGCAGCACAAACACCAGATCGTCAAGTACGGCAAAAAGGCCTTTACCTGGTGGAAGAAGAACCAGGGTAAACAGAACGGCCAGCAGCAGCAGCAGCAGCAGCACGGCGGCAGCGGCGGCTACGGCGGTGGCTACGGCGGCGGCGGCGGCGGCGGCGGAGGAGGAGGGGGAGGAGGAGGCTACGCCGGTGCAGCCGCCGCCGGAGCTGCCGTCGGAGGGTACAACAACAACAACAACGACTACTACAACAACCACCAGCAGCAGCAGCCCCACCTTCCGCCGCAGGGCCAGTACCAGGCACCGCAGTGGAACCAGCAGGCTGCCACCCAGGGCCCGCACTACAAGTACTCGCAGGACAACCAGGTCAACCAGCACGACGCCCACTATCTCGAGCTGCGCAACCGCGCCCGGTCCGAGGGCGACGCCATGGCGCGCTGCTTTGACCAGGCGCACGCCGCCCACGGCTCGGGCGACGGCGGGCGCGCCAAGCAGCTCAGCAGCGAGGGCCACCAGCACAAGGCGCAGATGGAGCGCCTCAACAAGGAGGCCGCCGACTGGATCTTTATGGCCAACAACGAGGACAGCCCCGTGGGCACCGTCGACCTGCACGGGCTCTACACGTCCGAGGCCCTCGAGCGGACCGAGGCCGCTGTGCGCGAGGGGCAGAGCAAGGGCTGGCCCGAGCTCCGCCTCATTGTCGGCAAAGGGCTGCACTCCAAGGACCACCGCGCCCACATCGCTCCCGCCGTGGAAAAGATGATGCAAGAGTACCGCCTCGACGCGCACCTCGACCCGCGCAACACGGGCGTGCTCGTCGTCAACCTCCAGGCTGGCGGCGCGGGCAACGCCGGCTTCACGCGCGACCTCGCTCGCCAGGTCAGCGGCAAGGACGACGAGGTGAGTGGGGAGGCGAGCGCGAGCTGTGACGCCGGACGGATCGCTGACATTGCCACGAGCCCTGCCACTGCCCCCTCGTATTGCTTTCTCTCCAGTGCGTCATCATGTGAACTCGGCGCGCTGCCCCGGCGTTCGCCGCCCTTGGCTCCCATGTCTTGTGCTGCTTGGCTCCCTGGACGATGCTCTTTATCCCCTCCCTCTCCGCCCCGCCAGACGCTGCGTGTCCGGCGACTTGATACCATGTGCCGTCTCTTCTGGGGATGGCTCCCTGGCAGCACTGCCTTTTGCTTTAATCTATCCTCCGTGTGCCGGTCCTTGCAACGCGCCTTTGATGTGGCCAGGCGACCGAGGTCGGGCGAGAGGGCGGGACTCGGACAGAGGGAGGGGCGTGCGTGTCGAGTGGCTGGTGCGCTCAGAGCAGGAGGGGAGGCGGAGCGGAGGCACTGCTGCACCTCGCTGCTCCTCCACAACCCCCGTTTGGCTGCCTCTCGAGTCGGTCTCTCTCGCTCATAGGCTCTCGACACACCTTCACTACTACCACCTCTGGCCAGCTTGGAATCTGACACCACAGCGCCTTCATCGCTCGCTCGCAGAAGGCACCTTGCGCGCCATCGCACGCACGCCATGGCCGACAAGGAGGCAAGCCAGCCCACGCCCGCCGCTCCGCCTCCTCATCCCGCTGCACGCACCTCGTCCTTTGCTCCCACCGCGGCGACAGGCAGCACTGCGGCGACATCAGCTGCACCCGCATCGACCTCGACAGCGATAGCAACGGCGTCAGCGACGGCGACGGCGAGCTCGACGCCATCCTCCTCAAAACCTCCCTCGCTCAAGGCGCCCTCCAGGCCGACCCACTTCTTGACCAAGTCCCTCACCACCGCAGCCGGCACCAGCACCGCATCGTCGTCGATCAACATCCGCGGCTCCGCCTTCGCCCACCATCACGTCCTCGCACCCGCCCGCACATCTTCACTGCGGACGCTCGACAACGCCCCAGATGACTGGGACGCCGATTCCACCGCATCTTCGCTCTCGCAGCAGGCGCCCAGCACCATCGATGACGGGTCGCGCGGTCCAAACAGGGACGGGGCGGGCCTGTTTGCCTCGCATCGCCCAGAGTTCGACCAGGACCGCGTGGACAACGTCGGCGTCGGTGCCGGCGGCAGCGGCAGCGCCAGCAGCAGCTTCATGAACGCCTTTCCCTTTCTCGGCCAGAGCGATGGTGTCAACGAGTTCGGACAGAAGGTTGCGGGTGGATCCACACGGGCGCCACCCAGAGACGCCCTCGACTACATTCGCTCCGTCAGCCACCGGGCAGACGTGCGAGCGCCCTCGTCGTCGCAGCAGAATTGGTCGAGGCCACATTCGTCAGATGCGGAGAAGGCGGCCTCGTCGATATCCAGAGCACCCTCGCCTTTGCCCGCCGCCAGCCGGGTCGCCGAACCCGCTGCGAGGCCAGTCACGGTCGAGACGGGGTCGTTCAAGGGCAAGGAGAAGGCTGCGCTCGCCGAGGTCGTCGATGCCGGCGCAAACGGTGAAGCGATACCGACGGCAGAGGAAGACTACCCGGCCTCACCGATCCCCACCAGCGAGCAGGGCGCCCCGACCGTCAGCGGCGTCGATGGCCAAGGGAGGGGCGGTGACGATGGCGCCTATCCGGATCGCAAGTACTACATCTTGAGCAGCGCGGGGAAGCCCATCTACATCAGCCACCTCGCCTCGCGCCGCACGTCGAGGTCACGGCAGGGTTCGCGCGATGCGGCCGACGAGGAGGCCGAGCGGCGGCGGCAGCAGGAGCTCGAGGACGACGAAGAGGAGCGTGCGACGACGCAGGTGGGCGTCATGCAGGCGCTCATCTCGATCTTCGCCGACGACGATGGCGACCGGCTGCGCCACATCAACGCCGACAATGGCCGGACGCGCATCACGTTCCTGCTGCGGTCGCCCCTCTACTTCGTCTGCGTCTCGTCGTGGGGCGAGCCGCCGGCGACGACGCGCATGCACCTCGAGAACCTGCACCTCCAGGTGCTCAGCCTGGTGAGCGCCGGCCAGCTGTCGCGGCTGTTTGCGCGCATGCCCAACTTTGACCTGCGACGACTGCTCGAGGGCACCGACGTGCTGCTCGGCAGCCTGCTCGCGCGCCTCCAGACCGACCTCTGCTTTGCTCTCGAGGCGCTGCAGCCCGTGCGCGTCGAGGCGCCGTTGCGGGAAGCCGTCTCGACGCTGCTGCTGCCGCCCAAGGGCGACGCGCGGCCAAAGGACCTCCTCTACGTGCTGCTCCTCGCCAACCAGCGCATCCTCACGCTGCTCCGCCCCAGGCGGCACAGCGTCCACCCGGCAGACATGCACCTCCTGGTCAACACCGTGTACGGCACCGAGGCCATCCGCGAGCCGGGCGGAGAGAGCTGGGTGCCCATCTGCCTGCCCAAGTTTGCGCCGCAGGGCTTCGTGCATGCCTACGTCAGCTTCCTCGAGCGGCCTGCGGGTCCGGGCGGGGCAAGCGGCGAGGGCCGCCACGACGGAGCCGACGGCGACGATGACAGTAGCCTGGCGCTCGTCATGGTGACGGGCGACCGCGACGGCTTCTCGGAGCTGAGCGCATGGCGCAGCGACATCATTGCCTCGCTCTCTGCCGCTCCGGCTCCCAAAGCGGCGGCGGCGGCGCCCACGTCGCCGAGCCTGCTGGCGGGTCTGTTTGACGCCGTCGGCCGGTGCGACTACAGCGCCGACGAGCTCGGCATCGCGGGGCTGCGCCACTTTGTGTACAAGTCGCGCACCAATGTCCAGATCACGGCGACGCGCCTCGAGGCGCCGTACGAGGCGGGCAGCGACGACCACAAGCGCCTCGTCACGCTCTACACGCTCGCCCACGACGCCATCCACGGCCTCTCTACAGGTGCATCGGTGCCGCTGCCCGGCGGCACCAAGACCTCGACGGACCTCGCGTCCGAATACCTCGGTAGCGGCAGCGGCGGCAGCGGTGGGGCAGGTGGGATGGACGGAATCGTCGGAGGAGGTCGGACGATCCAAGCGGCCTCGTCCAACTTTATGCAAAAGGTGCTCCTCGGCGGCGGTGGTGGCACATCATCATCAGCGAGACAGGACTACAGCGCCGCCGCCGCCGCCGCCGCCGCCGCTGGGCAGAGACGGCTGCCGCCGATCGCGGGACCGGTCAAGATGCAGTACTACCAGACGGAGCGCGAAGCCGTGCTCGGGTGGATCACGCAGCCGTTTGAGCTCTACCTGACCTTTAACCCGTGGCTCAGCAAGACGGCCATCGTCGCCGCTGCCAACGCCGTCGCCAAGTGGGTCAAGCAAAACGAACAGGCCGTCTTTATCACTAGCGCACTCACCTTTTAGCCCGTCGTAGCTCGTCGTAGCACCAGCAGCAGCAGCAGCAGCCGGCGGGGGTAGGGGCAGAAAGGGAGTGGTGGGTTTGTTGGTCGCTGCTTCTCGTCGAGGCCAGGATGCCGAGGGTTCGATGGTGTAGGATCGCGGCTGTGGAGGATCGTCAGAGATGGCATCTCAGCAGCGGGGTAGGCTCAGCGACAGCGACCCCGGACGCAATGCGGATACAGGAATGAATACAGCACACGTCGATACCCCCTTTTTCCTCGCCGCCAGGCTTGCTTCAAATGCCAGTTGGGTGCAAACCGGGGCCGTTTCTTAAAACGTCTATATATGCAAAAGATAGCGGACTGACATGAATATCCCGGCTAGCTCAGTCGGTAGAGCGTCAGACTCTTATCCAGAGCCTCTGCGATTGATCGCAGAAACCAATCTGAATGTCGTGGGTTCGAGCCCCACGTTGGGAGATCTTTTTTGTGCCTTCTTTATTCTTTCTTTGTCATCGCCAAAGGCGAGAGGCTTTGGCTGCATCCGACGCTTGTACGGCGGTCGAAGCCGTGCAAGCTTGTCCATAGCGAGTCGATATGGCCGATCAGGCAAGCTCAGCTCCGCTTCGATATGCCTGCAGCGACGTTCGGAGCGTGGCTGAGAAGGTCAGCTGAACCACGACCCAGGGGCTGCTATGGCGCTCCGTCGCGCTCTCCTCGATCAGGCAGCAGTGCTGGTGACGTGGCCAGTGGCCGAATCTCCGGCAGGCGGATGGGAGCATGTCAACGCAGGCTTAGATGGGTAGCACGGAAGAGGGACACACGCTCAGCGCCGCGGCTCGACTTGTGACAGCGCGCGGACTCACCTTTCGACGAAGGGCTGCTTCGCCGAGGCCATCCTAGGTGGTGGCAGCGATCCTGTCCCGGATCTGGGTTGCGACTTCCGACGGCATCGTCTTCGTAAAGGCTTCGAGGGGCGTTCCGCGAGCATGTTCGTATCTGTGATCGTGGCCAGAGGTGCGGGGCGGAAGAAGAGGGCTCGGACCGGCGATATCGCGGCCGTCGGAGACGGAGGGAGCACCTCCCCGGCCCAACCTGACGAGGCTGATTCGCAGCTATGCCATGAGAGGATCGCAGCGGTGGCGCAACGAGATAACGGTCGCCCTTGCAAAGAAACGGGCACCGCAATCTCCCCCACACGCGTCGAGTGGTCTCACCGCGCATTCCGCCCGGGTGCGGCTGTATCTGCGGCCTCCAGCGGCGTTCAGGGCGCTTCACGCGTCGTTCGCGGGACTGACGCCCCCGTATCGCTAGGTCGTCGGATGTGCGGCAGCGCAGCCAATATCAACATCGGGAGTAGGCAGTCAGGCACAGCGTCGAGACTTCTGTGTCACCGCGTGGCAACCCTCGATAGCCAGTAGGGCCGAGAAGTGAACATCGTGTTCCCTACCCTCGGCCCTGAGTCGTTCGATCCGACGGTCGATCGGCGGTGGCGCCGAATCGAGATGCCCTAACCTCCGGATTCCAGCGCGACGGTGCACTGCGAGGGTGCGTCGGCAGCGAGGCGTCTGGCCACCTACCTAGCTATGTTAGGTCCGATTGTGGTGGCTGCCATTGGGCGCAGCGTGCCCAGAGTATGCGGTTCGAACAGATGAAGGGAGCTAAGGATGGAAGCCTAGCGGACTGGGGTGAACGGGGGTGGATGGGGTAGAAGCCCACGCATGACATCGGCCTTGCGAGCGCAGAGGCGGCGATATCGGCAAAGAAAAATTAGCACGAACGAGAGTGCTGCCCCTATTATTATATTGTGGGTTCCTCATTTGTACTAGGAATGTGTGATGTCCTGGAATTGTTCCTGCGGTCTCGCAGCCGTAGGGCCAAAGCACCAGCCGTAGTTGTTGGACTGATTCCTACCTAGTGGTAGACCTCGATCAGGGGGCGACTAGATGCACCGCCGTTGCGCAAGGTTCGAGGGTACCCTCGCCAGCTGACCTCGACCGTCCCACGGCTGCCGGAACATCGCTTCCGTCGCTTTCAAGAGGGAGGCGTCGCTCTCAAGAGGGGTGCGTCGCTATCAAGAGCGGGGCATCGCTTTCGGCGTCCCTTACAAGAGGAAGGAATCTGCCGCGGCTTCGACGCAAGAGACAGGTCCGGGGCGGGTGGCGGAAAAACGGCCATCTCGGCGGGCGAAGCCGTCGCCAAGCATGATACCGGCTTGGCTTCCGGCCATGCCAAGGACGCGGCGGGCTTCGGCTTGGCTGGTGCCAGGGTGGTTGGCGTGGCGAGCCTAATTTAGCCCGTCGTCGATGTTGCGGCGTGTGGGTTGGCCGCGGGCGCCCCAGGTCTTGTCGCCGCCCGTCGCCCGTCGCCCGTCGCCTCTCCCTCCTCCCTTCCCTGCAAGTCTTTCAGATGCTGGAGGACGACCTTGGACGCACATATAAGCCGTCGTCGCCTTGTGCTTCGATGGGGGGTCTGGAGAAAGCCATCGCCTCCTCGGTCTCTTTCGCCCTGAGACTCCTCCCCTCTCTAAGACCTTCTCCTCGACGAACTTCTGGCAAACGGACCGTGCCTTGGCCGCGGCCTGAGCGTCAACCGCCAAATATGCTGGTCAAAGCGTGCCTTGTCCAGCTCCTCTGCCTTGGTGTCTGGACCGCATCTGCCTTCCCCCTGTTCCAGAACGAAGCTCCCTCAGTCGATCTCGGCTATGGAATTTACCGCGGCGTCGCCAACGAAGCCGCCGGCGTCAACGTCTTCAAGGGCATCCGCTACGCAGCTGCGCCCATCGGAAAGCTTCGCTGGCAGCTGCCTCAGTCTCCAGCCAAGAAGCGCGATTCGGTCATCGATGCCAAGTCTTTTGGCCCAAAGTGTCCGCAGTCCTGGCCGACGGGCCTGCTGCCGATGGTCGCACCGCTTCTGCCGGCCATCAGCGGCGACGAGGACTGCCTCTTTCTCAACGTCTGGGCGCCGCGCGATGCCCACAACCTCCCGGTCATGGTCTGGATCCACGGCGGGGGCTACGGCCAGGGCGACGGCCAGCAGGACATGATGTCAATCCTCGCCGCCAACAACAACTCCTTCATCGTCGTTTCGATCCAGTACCGCCTGGGCGCGTTTGGGTTCCTGGCTTCTGACGACGTCCATCGGCACGGCGTGCTCAACGCCGGCCTGCACGACCAGCAGGCGGCGTTGCGTTGGGTGCAGGAGCACATCGGCCGCTTTGGCGGCGACAGGCGTCGCGTCACCGTCTACGGCCAGAGCGCTGGTGGCGGCAGCGTCATGCTCCAGGCCATGGCCTACGGGGGCACCCAGGGCACGGAGCTCTTCAGCAACCTCATCGCCTCTTCCCCGTACCTGCCGCTGCAGTGGGGCTATAGCGATGCCGTTCCGACCAGGATGTACCACGCCTTTGTCGAGAGCGTGGGCTGCAACGGAACCGGCCTGACTGGGTACTCTGCCAGCAGCGCCGAACGTAGCAGCGCGGTGTTTGACTGCCTCGTCAAGGCCGACACGGCCAAGCTTCAAAGGTCGAGCCACCTGGTCTCGAGCACGCAGAGCACCTATCTGGGCTTCGCATTCGTCCCCGTCACCGACGGCCACCTGGTCGAAACGGTGCCGAGCCGCCAGCTGGGCGCCAAGAGGGTCAATGGGCGCAACATCCTGGTCGGCAACGATGCCGAAGATGGCGCCATTTTCGTCCCTCGCAACATCACCGTCGAGGCCGACGTCGTATCCTGGCTCAAGAACGTCTACCCCACGCTGAGCCAGGACAACATCACCGCCTTGCTAGACCGCTATCCCTCCTCGGACTCGGCAAGGACGCAGTACGCGACGCCGGGTGTGGGTCGCGCGCTGACGGCCAATGATGTCGCTTCGACCGCCGTGTCGCAGCTCGCGCGCGCCAGCAACATCTACGCCGAGGCTACGTTTGCCTGCCCCTCGTACTGGCTTGCTGATGCCTTCCAGGGGCCGAGGAAGGCGTACCACTACCAGTACAGCGTCGTCGCCGCGCTGCATGGCGTCGAGGTGGACACCGTGTACGGCTCTCCGCTGCCATCGGTCTCGCCGGGCATCGCCAAGGCCGTTCAGCGTGAGTGACATCGCCAGCCCTCGACGGGGTTTTGTGACGGAGCCACTGACGAGCAAGCCTCGCCTTGCCTCTCGCCGACGCTGCCCGCGCGCAACGCAGACATGTGGGGCAGCATGGTGACGCGATCGAACCCCTCGATCTCGCAGACCGAGGCTGTGGCCGGCGCGGCGGGCGGCAGCAGCAGTGCCAGATCGCCCAACCCGGCGACCCGGTGGCCGGCGTGGGATCCAGCGTCGCCGCACCAGATCAATATCAACCAGACGGGAGGCACAAAGGTGACGCTGCCCGTGGCTCAGTGGGGCATCGACTTCACGGGTTACGTCGGACCCGACAGGCGCAACGACATCACGCTGGTCGATGCGCGCAGCTGGGAAGGCGGCCGGGGCGCGAGGTGCGACTTTTGGAAGAAGCTGGCCGACGTGGTCCCCCTCTGAGGTGTCGCCAAGGTTTGAGTTGGGCAGTTGCGAGTGAGACGGTCGAGCTGCGTGTAGCAGGTTGGAGTTAATCAGAGTTGTTGTTAGCAGTGTTGCACTCTTGCTGCCTGACTGAGCCAATAAGTGGTGGCGCCTGTGGTGGTGGGTGGTGGTGACGGTGGCGGCAGGGTAGGTAGGCCTGGCTTGCCTGGCTGTCGGGCGTTTGGTTTCGAGGTGCGGGAGTCGGGTTGGGTGCGCGTTGCCTGCGGGGCCCAACTGGCGCGTGCGTTGGCGCCATTGGGCGCGCTTTCTTCTCTTTCTCCTTCGCTCTCGACCTCGTCCATCCCCTCCGTCCGTACCGCCTTGGCTCTCCTACCCAAAAGACTCCCTTGCACGCTCGCCCCGCTCGAGACGCAAGCTCCATGCACACATGGACCTAGCATCCAGTCGGCCTTACCACGGCGACGGCGGCGGAGGCGGAGGCGACGCCATGCCGCTCGCCCGCTATGGCGCGCCATCCCCGCAGCTCCACTACCCCGCCAGCCGCTGGACCTTCACCCAGGGCCTCATCGTCGGCCAGATTTCCATGGTCGTCATCGCCCTCCTCCTCATCCGCTACGTCATCTTCGAGGACTCGGCGACTGCGCTGGAAAAGGAGCGCCTGATGCGCCTCAAGATCAGCGAACGCCGCTCCAAGCGCCACGCAAAGGCGCTCCTCGAAAACGCAAAGCGCCTCGGCACCACTTCCAAGCTCGCACCCGCCACCGCCAACGGGCCCACAGGCGGCCGCGGAAGGCGTTCCAGATCCTCAAAGGCCGATGCCAGGGCAACCTTTGCAGAGATACTCGACAAGATCGGCTACGACATCAGCACCCACGGCAGCGAGAGCTGCGACTGGCTCAACGTCGTCCTCGCCCAGGCCGTCGCAGGATACCGCGAGGACGTGCTGGCCGGCGGCGTCTCACCCCATCCGCCTGCACCCGCCGCAGCCTCCGCCACTCGGTCGTCGTCGGCGGGTGCGATGAACTTTGCCGGCTTGTTCGGCGCCGCAGCCACAGCCCACAACTCCACCGCCGCCGCCGACAGCGCCGACGGCGACCTGACCGAGGAAAAGGAGCGGACGGCGCGTGACCTGATGGAGGAGATTCTCAACCGCTCCACGTCCAAGGCCGGCTCCTTTCTCGACCCCATCCGCGTCACCGAGGCCGACTTTGGCGACGCCTACCCCGTCTTCACCAATGCCCGCGTCCGCCCCGCCGACGACACGGGGCGCATGCGCATCGAGGTCGACGTCGACTACTCGGACCAGATCACGCTTGCCATCGACACCAAGCTCCTCATCAACTTCCCCAAGCCCCGCTTCGCCGTGCTGCCCGTATCGATCAGCCTCACCATTGTCCGCTTCTCGGGCACGCTGGCCGTCGAGCTCTTTTCATCGGATCCAAACGCGACCGTACTGCCCTCGGCGGCCCACAGCGCCTACCCGGCTCCGAGCGGCGGCGCCGGTGCCGGCGGCAGCGGTGGTGCAGCTGGTTCAAGGCAAGGACGGCATCCCCCGCCGCCACCGCCGCCGCGGTCGCGGCATCAGCTCCACTTCTCGCTCCATCCCGACTTTGCGCTCGAGGCGTCTGCGTCGAGCCTGTTGGGATCGCGCGCCAAGCTGCAGGATATCCCCAAGATCGAGCAGCTCCTCATCTCGCGCCTGCGCGGCTGGATCCTGGACCGCTTCGTCTGGCCGAGGTACTGGAGCCTGACGTTGCCCAACCTCGTCCCCGGTCCCTCTGCGGCATCCGACGACGATGGGGGCCAGACCGCGCCCGGTCAGATGTCAGTCGAGACTGGGATAGAGGGGCCACGCAACGATGGCGTCGTCGAGCCGGGCCACGCCCAGTCTTCGCGGCAGGCGCACCAAAGGACGCCAGGCACCTCGGGCGCGCAGACACCCGCGGCTCCTACACCACCACCGCCTCCGCCACTGGGCAGCGTTGAGGCGTGGCGGGCCCAGACACTGCTCTCGGGCACGGCAGGATCGTCGGCTGCAGCGGCTGCAGCGGCCGCGGCGGCCATGGGGGCGGGCGCCAGACCGTCGATGACGGCCAACTCGTCGTCGTCGTCCCTCCTCGGCGGCAGGCCGGCCATGGTGGGCTCGTACGTCTCTTCGCCTTCCCTCGCCACACTAAACGGCCTCCGGGGCGGCGTAGATGATCCGGCCAGTTCGGCGGCGGCCTCTGCGTACGGAGGCAGCGCTAGGGCGTTGCGGCATCGGTCTGCACATGTCGACGGCTAGCATCGTGGGGCGATCGAGCCCGATTCCGCTTGAGGACAGGGCATGACTCGATAATGGTACACGAGATCTGCATTGCACCTCACCACCACCACCACCACCACCACCGCCGCCACCCGTGTCTGCTGCTGCTGCCTGATGCATTCGTACCGTCCTACCTCCAGCGTACATCCATCGACGTCTCAGAAGCGCGTCCGACCAGGTCCTCTGCGCGCTCCTCGAACGGACGCGGCACCGCGCGCCTCTTTGATGCGCTCGATTTCACGCCGCTTTTCCATCTCCCTCGCCCGTTGCTCTGCGGACCGCGTCTGCGTCTGTATCGGCGTCGGCGTCGGCGCCAGGCTGTCCGCCGACGGCTCGTCCTTGACCGTCCTGCTCGATGCCGAGGAGGCGGTGGCGACTGAGGAGGAAGCGGGCGGTGAAGCGCGGGCAGAGGTAGGCTGGGACGGCAATCGGTCTTCTATCCGCCGCTGCGGGGCAGGCTTGATCTTCGTCGTGCGAGCAGGGAGCAGCGACTCCTCTTCCGACGACGACGACGACGATTCGGGGGAGATCGAGAACCGTGCGCTGGACCGCTTGGCACTGTGTTCGTCCTTGACTTCCACCGCGGCGCTCGTCGAGGCTTCTGTCGCACGCGGCTCTTGTGCTGTGGGCGACGGTGGAACGCGCCACGCAGCGATGTGCTCCCCCTGGCTACCGTTAGCCTTTGGCTTCTCCTGCGCCTGCGTCTGCGCCTGCGTCTGCGCCTGCGTCTGGCTGAAGAGCGGCGGGGAAGACGAGGCGGCCGCCCGCGCTCGGTGGCTGGTCTCTGCGCCGGCCTCTTTCGACGTCGAGGGTCTGCGCCAGTTTGTTGGAGGCGGGCCGAAGAAGACGAGATCGCTCTCGTCGGTGTCTCCGTCCGAATCGAGCGGCAGAGGCGGCGATGGCAACGCCTGCGCTGCTTCGATCCCGTCCCGCGCTGTATCGCTGCCAATGCCGCGTACGCGCTTGGGCGAAGTTAGGCGATCGCACGGCAGCCCGCGCCGCTTGAGGGCGTACCTGGCGAGGCAGTCGAGGGTCTGCTGTTGCAGGGGCGTCGTCTCTTCACCACCATCGGCACTAACTCTGCTGGAGCCTGCGGCTCGAGCGGCTACGCTCAGCAGCGGGCCTATAAAGTGACCCTCGAGGAAGCTCTTTGAGGCCGCCGCATCGAGGGGATCGAGGTCAAAGGTCACCTTGAACCTTGGGCTGCTGTCATCTTGGTCCCTGGCGTCGATGAAGAGCGAGGCCGAGAAGCGAGTCGCCTCGAGTCCGATCGTCCTCCGCCTTTTCCTGGACGGAGAAGCGTCGAGGAGGGCGTCGTGCACCGCCTCTGCGACTCGGTCGACGTCGTGCTCGCTCTGTGTCTGCGTGTCGACAGAGGGGTGCTGCAGCTGGACTCGGCGGGAGAGGGTGCGCTGTGAAAGCCCCTCGCAGAAGACGGTGCAGGTGGAAGGGTCGAGCAAGATGAAGAAGAGCTGGGACGTGGCCGAGGACGTTGCGAGCTTGTAGAGCAAGGGCAGCGACGACGACGGCGAGGCGGTGCTGGTGGGCGAAAAAGAGCGAAAGGGGTGGTTCAGCAGGTAGGTGTCGAGCGAGGGTGACCAGGACAGCAGGTCGGGAGGGTGCATGCTGGCATTGGGTGCGACGGCAGCCCGGGGGCAGCCGGGCGAGCAGAGGTGGCGGTCGTCGGTGGTGGTGGTGGTGTTGGTGGTGGTGGTGGGGGGTGGGGACGGGAGCGGTTGAGAGATAGAGGTGCTGGTTGGTCCATGCGAGCCCGCGCTTGGGCCTGAGCCTCCACCTGGGACGTGCAGCCTTGTCCTTTCGGGCGAGAGAGATGGGATGCTCGACGGCTGCCTGGGTCGATCCAGCCAGGCGTAGCCAGGCGCGCCGGCCCTGCTGTCGAGGCCCAAGCGAGGCCAGGCGAGGCGAGGCGAGGCGAGGCGAGGGCTGCGCTGTTTTGGACTTTTGGGCTACAGCCACGGTTGGGCCCGCCTGGAGGCAGGCCTGCTGTCCGGTGCTCCTCAGCTGAGCGGACGCGATCAGCTCATCCTCGGCATCCCCTCCCCCCCATACATCCAGCCCTACCCTCTATCCTGGCTGGCAAGCTCCTAGCCTACGCCTGCCTAGCCTGTTGCTTCCGTTCGTCCACCTGCACGCCTTGCATAAGCCTTACGACGTTCCTGGCTTGCCTTGCCTTTGCCTTGCCTTGCTTGCGCTGCTGCTTCCTGTTCGTCGCAGTCGGAGCTTAGCTGCCCCCCCCCGGCCTTGACCTCCTTCCGACCAACCCAAGCCCGGCACAGAGGAAATCGTCCCACTCGCCCCGCCATATATCATCATGGTTACCACCCGGTGCGTAGTCGCGCATCTTCCTCTCGCTCTCTCTCTCTCTCTTCGAACCTCCCTCCACGCCCGCCCTGCCGCTGGCCATATAAGCATAGCGAGGGAAGCTCATCTGACCCCCTGACATCTGCCCCCGCATACCCTCTCGCCCGTCACCCACCTCTTGCCTCCACGTCTATCTCTGCCTCTCTACCCTGCCCGCCCGCCTGGCTTCCCCCTCCCTGTAGCGCCCAGTCGCGCACGCCCTCGCGCAGCACCCGCGCCCGCACCACCTCGACTCAGCACTCGGACGGCGGATACACGTCGACCGAATCCGCACCCGGCAGCCCCACGCCAGCGCCCAGGCGGCCAACCTCGAACCTCTCGAAGCGCTCCTCGCTCGGCGTCTCTTCCTCGTCCTCGTCGCCCCTCCGCTCCAAGATGTCCAAACCGCCGACAAAGGAGCAGCTCGCCCCGCGCACCGCCCACTACGAGTTTGGCGGCCCGCTCGGCGCCCTCTTTGTCTCCACCACCGTCCCCCTCTTCACCTACTACTTCTACTTTGCCTGCTCGCCCGCCCTCGGGTGCGCCCCCACCCTGCCCTTGACCCATCCAGAGGCCCTCTGGCAGGTCGCAAAGCAAGGGCTCGTCGACAGCTTCCTCGACGGCACCGCCTGGGCCATCTACTTTGGCTGGTACGCCTTCACGGTGCTCGCGTGGGCCGTGCTCCCGGGCCGCTGGGAGGAGGGCAGCGAGCTCCGCATCGGCGGACGCCTCGATTACAAGATCAATGCGTTTGCCACGCTCGTCGCCTCGTTTGCCATTGCCGCCGGCATCATCGCCGTCCAGGGCCCCCAGGGCTTCACCATGCTCTACGATCACTGGCCCGGCCTGATCTCGGCCAGCGTCGTCAACTCGCTCGTCCAGGCCTTTTACGTCTACGCCGTCTCGTTCCAGGAGGGCAAGCTGCTCGCCCTCGGCGGCAACAGCGGCAACGCACTCTTTGACTGGTTCATCGGCCGCGAGCTCAACCCGCGCATCGGCCGCTTTGACATCAAGACGTTCAACGAGCTGCGTCCCGGCCTCATCCTCTGGGCGCTCCTCGACCTCAGCTGCGCCTGCCACCAGTACGTCAAGCTCGGCGGCAGGATCACCGACAGCATGGCCCTCGTGTGCGCGTTCCACACGTGGTACGTCGTCGACGCGCTGTACAATGAGGTGAGTCGCTTCTAGTTCCGACGCGAAGACGCCGACCCGCCGCGGCATTGCATTCGTTCTCGACCGTGCACTGCTGACGCTAGCCCTCGCGCCCTGCCATGACCGACCACAGTCTGCCATCTTCACCCAGATGGACATCACCACCGACGGCTTCGGCTTCATGCTCTCGGTCGGCGATCTGACCTGGGTGCCGTTCATCTACAGCCTGCAGGCGCGCTACCTCGCCTTCCACCCGGTCCACCTCGGCCTGCTCGGCACGCTGGCCATCCTGCTGGTCAACTTTACCGGCTACTACATCTTCCGCACCGCCAACTCGGAGAAGAACGACTTCCGCTCCGGCCAGAACCCCAAGCAGCTCTCGTACATGACGACGGCCAGCGGGCGCAAGCTGCTCACCAGCGGCTGGTGGGGCCGCAGCCGACACCCCAACTACCTCGGCGACTGGATCATGGCGTGGGCGTGGTCGCTCCCCTGCGGCTTCGCCACGCCCATCCCCTACTTTTACGTCCTCTTCTTTGCCATCCTCCTCGTCCACCGCCAGATTCGCGACGACGAGGCGTGCCGCAAAAAGTACGGCAAGGACTGGGACAAGTACTGCCGCCTCGTGCGATCCCGCATCATCCCCGGCATCTACTGAGGAGCGAGGCGGCGGCGACGCGCGCTCTCTCTCTCTCTCTGTAGGGGGAGAAAAAAACTGATGTCGGCGTGGAGGAGATGGGCGCGTTGTTCCTCTTTATCGAGCACCTTCTTGGACCTGTCTTATCGTTACGTCTAATCGACACTTCATCCGCGCTGACACGACGCATGCGACGTCTGGCTCACCGTCTGCGCCAACACAGGCGACGGGCGCAGGAGGCTGAGCGCTCGCTCCTAGCTGTCGACAGGCGAATAAGGGTGGAAAAAGGAGGGTGAAAATTGGCTGGCCCGGGCGTACGAGGGCTTCGCGTTCACTCGCCGTCGCCGATGCTCTCCGTTCGCGAAGATCTCTCAACACGCCCGCCACCCTACACTCTAACTACGGGCGTCGCCGCCGCTGGCTACACTCGACTACCGATCTCGCCTCGCCTCACCTCGCATCGCATTACCTGCGCGTCCTCCTCTCGGCGGTGACGACGCCCCACCTCCTGAGGCTGATGTCGGAGTCGCTCGACGTCCAGGGCGAGTCGGTCTCGTCGTAGTCTGCGCCGTTTTTGGGCCGCGCCGACGACGCCGGCGCCGCTACTGCCGCTCCGGCGCGCACCCGCTTCTCCCACT